CGATCGTTGTACCGTTACTCAAGCCGGTGAAGAACGGGGACTCAGCTGAGCACTATCGTCCGATCAGCCTCCTCTCGCACATCAGCAAGATATTCGAGAGGCTAATCCACCATCAGCTTATGAAGCACTGCTGGAAAGAGAGCATCATACCACCAGAGCAGACTGGTTTCCAGAGAGGGGTCGCGTGTGAACACCACCTAGCTAAACTTCAGGCCCACACAATAGATGAAATGAGTCTCAACAGAGCTACGGCGCTCATCTGTTTGGACTGCAGCCAGGCCTTTGACTGCGTGTCACACACGCATCTACTTCGCCGTCTGGAAGAGTTCAGGTTTCCTACCACTCTATGCCGACTGATCCGAAGCTACCTCAGCGGAAGATCTCTCATCGTACGAGTTGGTACAGACTACTCAAACCCAGTCGATACCACCTGCGGAGTACCTCAAGGGTCTGTGTTGGGGCCAATACTGTTCGTCGTTTTCACGGCGCCAGTGGTGGCACTCAAGCATCCAAAGGCGGTGGTAGCAGCCTATGCGGACGACATTGGCATATATGCTTTTAGCATCAACGCGGAGACTGCACTCACTCTGGCACAGAATGCTTCAGCCACAATTGTTGAAGAGCTAGAAGAGATCGGTATCAGAGTGAATCCTGCGAAGACTGATGCTATTGTCATGTCGTTCCAGAAGGGAAAGAAGCATCTACCCACACAATTCACCGTTGGAGGAGCTTATCATAAAATCTCTACCTCGATTGTCTACCTCTGCGTCACGCTAGATAGACATTTGACCTTCTCCAATCACGTTAGGCAGAGGATCAAGCTGGCACGAAAGAAGTCACACCGGCTCTACCACCTACTGACGTCGCCGCAGCTCTCGCTGAGACTCAAGCTCCAAATTTATAAAGCTATTATAAGACCAACACTGCTCCACGGGGCCCCTCTCCTGCGATACCTATATAAATCCACGCTTACGAGTCTACAGGGCTTCCAGAACTCTATCCTTCGGCGAATTGTCCGTGGCACCACCCTACAAAGGGCTAAGAATCAAATAATACGCGAGGAGCTCCAGCTCCCCTCGGTACCTGAGTTCATAGGCCGGAGGCACATCAAATTTTTTGATGGGCTGAAGGCCTGTGCAAACCCACTGTTCAATGAGATCTCACCACCACCCAGACCTGGGAGGTGGCAAGGTAAACTCCCTTTGGTGGACATACTCGCCGAAGGATGTGGTCTGGTCTCTGCGGTCCAAACCCATTAATTTGTATATATTGTAAATAATAAAAAATTAGCAGAACGGTCCTTCCCCGTTCAATGTCAAAGTCACAAGGCCTTCTGCCACATATGTAACCCTTAGCTATCCCCAATCCTTAAAATGCCCTCGGGCAGTGGAAGGAATTTATCACATGTATATATTCTATATTGTATACTATATATGTAATTTGTTTCAATAAACATTTTGGAGGGTAAGAAAAAAAAAAAAAAAAAAAAAAAAAAAAATCCTAACAAAAAATATTGAAACTTTTTTTTTCGGGGTTTTCCCGGGCTAGGGGTTGTGGACGGTGATTTAAAAGACTCCCCGTCATTATTTTAAATCCATTGTAAGGGTAACTATTTCGATCGGAAATACATGTTTTGAGGTCTCCTGAGTCCAAATAACCAAGTCATGCAAAATGATCTGTGTGTGTGTGTGTGTGTGTGCTCGCGCGCGTGGTATATGAGGTAAGTCTAGCTCAAAAACGACAAGTCGTACGAAATTACGTACTAAGTGATATTACGTATTACGTATATGCCTTAGATGTTACAGCAACTTTTTCCTTAAAATCGGCTCACTGGAAGTGCCAGTTTATATCAACGGTGATAGAAATTTTTACAATTTTCCCAAAAACGACTTTAACGATTTTGATTAAACTCGGTGTATCATTGTATAATTATCATTTAATTTCTTATCAATTAGGACTTATTCCCAATGAGGTCAGTTTACAGGGCTTAAATGCCCATTGTTCATATACGTCTTCCTCTAAAGTACCTTTAATATAGTTTATTTAAAATCTAACATTTAATTCTCTTTTATTGACAGTAACTATAAAAAATGGCTAAAAAGGAAGTTTGAAAACATAAGATAATTGGAAACTGGAGAAAAAAAGAAAAATGCTTATCCAGGTTGAAAATCTCCGGAAATAACAGTTAGAAAGTATACCTATAATATATCGTTGGAAAGCGGAGAATTTCAGAAAATAATATCAAATAAATAAAGTTGTAGAAGGTAACGGAGAGTGACGAAAAGAATATAATAATAATTTCAGAAAACAAACATTATTTAACGTAAATCACATGTTTCCAAGGAAATTAAATGTAATTATCTTACTAAAAGTAAACTATTAAATTTTTTTAAGTTTTAAAAAAAGTATATAAAATCCACCGAATCGAGCCAATGCCATTGTTTAAAATACTCTTTCATTGTACTTGTGTGAAAGAAGAAGTGAAATATAAAAATATTTCATGGATATGTTTATCACCTTAAATAAATTTATTGCAGTTTAATATCTCTAGGTAGGATATTATATTTAAATAATTAGTTTTCTATTGGCCGTTTATTACAAAAAATCATCAAGTAACCTTTTAGAAAATTCAAGTAGTGAATAATTTGATTAATTTTCCCTTTGCGAAATTGCAACATTAACCAGTTACAATTAGTGTGACAGCTTTTGACCTATTTATGGCAGATAATGATAATTTCATTTTGTAAACTTTACAACAGAAAATAACCGTTTAATAACTAATAGCCCTACAATCTATAATCATTTATCGGTTAAATATTCATATACTTTATATTCATATACTACTAGCCATATAATAGCCTTTCGGTTGACAGAATGACTAACTCCAATTTCAACATTCTTTATTATTAATTTTAGTTATGTTTCTAGTGGCAAAATTTATACCTTTATTCACAGTTCTATATTTCAACATTGCAATCATCTACTCTGGAATCAACTTGCTCACTGTCTGTATAGATATAACCTTTCCAACTAGAAATATCACTATCATTACTCAAAAATGTTAAAATTGAAGTTCGTCATTTTGTCAACTGAAATGCTCAGAGACTGAAGTTGTGTTATTTATAAAACTAGATTTTTATTGACTACCGTCGATATAATAAATAGACTTTTTGTAATGTTAATGGTCTTAATGATTTGTTATCTGTAAGCTTTAAGCTTTAGCTCCGTTTAAAATGCACTTCAAAAATTTTATAATAGCCCAGCATTGCCAGAAAATAATTTCTATTCAAAGTAAAGGGGTAAGTGAAAGCGCACCAGATTTTTAATCTTAGTGGAAGAAGTTTAATTAGCTTTGTCTGATAACGAGGAAAGTTGGCGGATACTTGGTTGGAGAGACTTAAATGTTTGTAACACATTACTATATTTCGTTGTTGCTTCTTTATACTCCATAAGCTCTGATTTTATTCTGAGTCTTAGGGGCAAAAATAACTTTAATTATTAGTTTCAATACTGTATTTATATTAATATATTACTTATTTGATTTGTTTACAAAAAAAAAATTTAAATACTAATCACTAAAAATAATTCAATTAATTTCATTTAAAAAAACAAACATAATTTTTTGCAATTAAAGGAGTTGTGGGAGGATGCCAAATAAAGGAAAGTCTATTATTATTACTATAAAGTCAAAGTAATTAATATTATTTCTGATTAACAATGTGTTTCAAAAGTGATGCTTGGTCAAATTATTTTATTTAAGGATTTTCTGAGATGTTATATCAGTTGAATCATTTCTTTTCTTTGTGAAAAAATTCTTGAAAATATTATTTAAACTAAAAAATGGCATGGTTTTTGTCCAACCAGCTGTCAGTTTTCTACCTTTGCTTTTTTTATTCAATAAAATACATCCTCCGATCCTACTAATTTTATGGCAAAGCATAATTGTATTAAAAATTAAATATGATCCACCTTAAAAAAAATCGCAACTCGATTTTTATGGGCGAGAATTCTGAACCCTAACGATCAGCCTCACAATTTAACTAAAATGAACCTATCCAATTAGTGTATTCAACCTATTTATTTGTGTATTCAAATTAATAATAAATAAATAAACATAATATAAATTTAAGTAAATTATATGTATTTTAGAAAGAAAATTTAAATACATTTTTATAGTTTAAAAAAATAATATAGCTACATACCATACACTTTATATTTTACTTCTGCAATGTAAAATTCAAAAAACTATATTTTAAAATATTTCATTTGGAATATTGCCCAGGTCTGATTTTGTTCTTATAGATCTACCTATTTTCTTCCAAATCAAACCAAATTTCGAGTTTTACCAAGTTTTCACGTGATTCACAGATCAAAGATTAAATTCATTGACAGTTGAGAAAACGGGTGCACATTTACATTTGATTAACAGAAGAAATAAAAAAAAATAATAATAAAAATAAATAAATGAAAAAAAAACATTTAATAACATACAATATTTTATAAATAATTACAATAAAAAATGGTATTATATTTACAGTATAAATATTGCAATAAATCAATTATAACTAAAAAATCAAATAACAATAAAATAATTATAGGAAATTTAAGGGTGACTTCAATGCTATTCTTTAGTTACTTAGTTCCAAGAAATCAATCCCTTCCATAAATGCATCAAATTCCAAAAAATATATTTTTTTATATATTATTTGAAGATCCCTCTTTGAAAATGGCCATTGGTCCCCATTAAAGACTTTTACAAACCTTATGATTACTCCAAGCGCCTTAATCTGCAACAATACTGACAAAAGGATATCGTATCGCCGTAACATATTGTGTTCTGTATGTATAAACCTTAAAGAGGACTGTCTAGACTAGTTTATGTCTGTACCTTTCCAATTTAGTGTAGTCATGTATAAGATGGTCTTTTATATGTTTTTTTTTTTTATATAGCAGTAACAATTATAAATAAAATTAACTATAGCTGATTTATGTGGTTACAGGAGCAGGCGATGGAGGAGGCAAAGCAAGCTGTGACATCTCCTGAAGACACGGAAGACTTGAGCCCAGCTCCTCATGCCCAGGCAGCCCGAAGGCGAGGAGGAATATCTGCAGAACCAGTCACTGAAGAGGATGCTACCAGCTATGTCAAGAAGGTAAAGGGCTCAAACATTTTATTATTATTATTCAGCACAAATCCACAAACATTTTTGGGAAAACTAGAGCTTTCCGCGAGGATTGTTTCAAAAGATATCAATATTTCAAGTCCCGATGCTAGGCTTACTGATTTGATGGCTGAGGTCGGTATAACGTCACACATTCTGGAGGTTTGGCTAAATTTGGTCTTATAGGCTTAACCGGTAACCTAAATCTACTTTACATATACTATGGTATAGATATAATATTTTTATATAATATAGATCCCTTTTCTGGCTCTAGGAGCGATGTATTTCGATTTTATGAAGTATCAAACAACAGGAAATTTTATGGAGAAGTGACGAATCATGTTTTTAAAATGTAAAACCTTACAATTAAAAATTAAAATATTGCTATTTATGATAGTCTTGGAAGAGCTAAAAACCTATTGAAAAGGTAAATAGATGACGTAGCTTGGGACTTGGTCTTTTTTTTTATTTTTATCACAATGATTACTCTGGAAGAGAAAGAATGGAATTGTATAAAATAATAATAATGTAGAGATGGTTAACCATGGTATAATATGAGAAGGAGTTGGTCGGGACGTGCGGTCACTAAATTTATAATCACTAAATACTAAATTTTTAATTGTTACGCCAATGTTTTGACCCACTTTATAGTTCTTCATCGGGGCGTGGCATCAGAAACTGTAGGAACTGTCAATTGCTTGCTGCAGTGCTTGATACTACGCCCTGATAAAGACCTGCAAAGTGGGTTGAAACATCACCGTAACAATTAATAAATTGAAGTACTAATTTAAAAATTTAGTATTTATTTGACCGCATCTCCCGACCAACTCCTTCTCATATATAAAATAATGTTTAAAATGGTTCCTGAAGGTATCAAGAAAACAAACTGTACAGGAACAATAATGCTTCTAGTCATAATATTTTAATATTGATAAGGTGCTTACATTTAGGAGCTTAATAGATGCATTATAATTTCAAAATAATTGTTTCTTATTGGTTTATATTTGTTTCTGTGAGTTACCTGATTTACGTACTTAAGCAATCATATTTTGAATTTTGAAGTATTCAGCTCATATGAAAAAAATATATTTTTGATATTATAATGGCTTCATATTATTTTTAAATTGTTTTATTTTTTCTTGGATGGATACTGAGAAAAATAATGTTAATTACAATTCTTATAATTTTATCTATTACATCTGAACACTACAGTATTAGACTTGAATGACTACTAAATATGTACGTGTTGATACCGCAGGTGGTTCCTAAAGACTATAAGACAATGGCTGCACTGTCCAAAGCAATTGCGAAGAATGTTCTTTTCAGCCATCTGGATGAGAATGAGAGATCAGATATATTTGATGCCATGTTTCCCGTCAATTTCTTACCTGGGGAGACCATCATTCAGCAAGGTGATGAAGGAGACAACTTCTACGTTATTGACCTGGGTGAAGTAGAAGTAAGTCATAACTTATTTTATTATCATGCTTATATATTTTATTTCATATAAGTTTGCTATCAAAAAGAGTTTGTTATTTTTATTGAACAGTTATTGCTGAAAAATCTTATCTCCAGCTGAAAAATTGTATTCATAGAATCAAAAGCTGAAGACAGTCCCTAACCACTGTAACTAAATTATTTTGAATTTAACCAGTTTTCTAATTCAAAGGAATTTAAATACTATTTATACTTTTATCAAAAAACAAATCTTGTATTGAAGTATAACTGTAAATTTTTTTTTATAAATTATTTTTTATAATTTAAAAAAAAAATTGTATTCTGTTTAATCGGCCGTTGATCAACCCTAGAGGCAGGAGACCCTCTTGGGGCGCACTCAGCCTCTATAAAGTGGATATCCTTAATTAAATAAGTAATTAATGGAGAAAACCTGGCGGTTGAGCGTGATCTCGATCAATTCACCTCGTTGCACAACCGTTGACCAAGAATAAGTATCTTCCCTACATAGTACTGAACCCAAGACCTTTTATGGGTTGTATTGGTACAGGTTTTATTTATTCCTTTATATATATATATATATATATATATATATATATATAGTTCCTCTTTTATTTTGTAAATTTGAAAATGAGAGGTTAAAACTACCGTTCTTTCCAATCCACAATGCTGTCAGCCTTTTATTAATGAAAGAGATTATCTTAAAACATTTACTAATTCAATGCACTCGTATTGCTTAAAAGTGATCTATGCTAATGAAAATAATTATATACAGGTGTATGTAAACAGCGAGCTGGTGACGACAATAGGGGAGGGATCGAGCTTTGGAGAGCTAGCTCTCATCTACGGTACCCCACGAGCAGCCACTGTTAAAGCGAAGACAGCGGTAAAACTTTGGGGTATCGATAGGGACTCATATCGCAGGATACTAATGGGTTCAACCATCCGCAAGAGGAAGATGTACGAGGGCTTCCTTTCCAGGGTCTCCATACTAGGTAAGACTATCATTAGAGACAGTAAAAACTACTGAATAGAGAACAGTTCAGAAGGTCTCATCTGCGTTAATGTATTGTCTCTTATTTGAGCTTACCATTTATCATAACCAGAAAGCATCTTACATTTATACCTAATATTTTTTTTTTCCACATCCAAGGAGAAATAGCATCCTCATACTTATATCTTGATCTCTCTTTGCCCTTTTTGGTAGGAAGCCGACTTGAAAATTGAACCAAAACCTGTACTGATAAGATTACACATTGCCGCTATTACTAGCACAAGTATGTATTCATTTATAATTTGGAATGTTATCACAACTTTCCCTAAGAAAGTTAAGATATTAAGGTAAAAGAACTAAAAAAATAATTGATCATCAGTTGGTTGCGAACATTGAGGCTCATCAACAAAACTTGTACATGGCATTTGTTGTTTGCAATGGTCCCATTAGATTCACTTTTATGCTCACTTTGTCTTGAGTCTCAAACATGTTTGTAGTTCGTTGGATTATTGCTACTCTTGAAAGTTTCCTTATATAGGCTGCATTGAGCTATGTCCACAGTAATCCAGAAGCTCTGAGAGAAAGGCAAGAAATAGTTTTAAAATATGCTAGGAGGCTGCTGGACTGAGGAGATACAGAAGATGATAGACCATCCTGAATCAACATATAAAGATTAAAGTCTACATGATTTAACATTTTTTTTACTTTCCTACCTCTACTAGGTTAGGAATGTATTGTGATCGGGTCAAATTTCCAATATGCGGTTTTCGACGAATCTATACATTTCAGAGCCCCCTGAGTCCAAAAAACATATTTTTACCCATTGGTCTGTCTGTCTGTGCCAAGATTTTCTCGGGAACTACTGAACCGACTTTGTTGCTTCTTTTTTTATTTTGTAGAGTTTTGACTACTGATGCCTGTGACTGAAATTGGATGCTCCATGCACAATAGCTGTTGTGCAATAAATTAAAAAACTGTTTTTCTATAGTCTGTAGCACAAAAACGGCTCTAACAATTTTGCATGAAACTTTCCTATAATGTTCTAATAATTAACCTTTCAATTTTTGTATATGGACCAAATTCCCGAGAAAATTCAGAGAAAAAGTTGTATAGAAAAGAAAAATGTTTTGAGGCCTAACTAGCTAAGTACATATTATATGGTAAAATTTATAATAAAACTTTTGAAAAGTAATAAAATTATCAACAAGTTAAGTTAAATTATCAGAAGTTGCATAACTTCAAAGTTTTATTGACCTTTTTCTATTTGATTCAATGAACTTATGAATCTATACTTTCACTGTTTAGTTATGCATTGATGAGTACTAGCCATTTTTGGGATTTGCAGTTAATGAATTAAAGCCTGTTACAGAAAATCACATTGGATCTGCATTAATGTCTCTACAAGATAATTAATTTTATTTTTTATTCAGTTTGCCCATTTTCAATTGAATCATCTCATTTACTTTCTTGGTTTCTTTGAATCTTCACTGCATCAAAAGAAATCTTTAGTTACTACGCTCAAAATAAGAGCTTTGCTTAATGCATATAATAAAATAAAGAGAAATTGTTCCTGAGGGTAGACAAATTCAAATAACTCTACAATATCTTCAATGAATGACCAATGGTTAGAAATAGGCCAGCGTATAGCAAATACAAACAGAGCATTCTTCTCTCTTTTAAAGGTATTTAAATCCTGAAAAATTGTAAGAAATCTCAAATTAAGGGTGTACTATGCTTTGATAAAGCCAGTTCTGATATATGGCTGCAGTACCTGGACACCAACCAGCATCCTAAAAAGAAGTATTGAAACATTTGAGAGAAAAATCCTTTGTCCGATGACTGAAGTGGTCTGGAATTAGAGTACTAACACATAGAGAAGAAAGAGCTTCTTAGAGAAACTGGTCAATCAGTATCTCATGATATGAAGGCAAGGAGGTTAGGATGGTTGGGGCACATAGCTCGGAGCAATCTATCTGGAAACCTCTACACAATCATAGTGAATAATAGGCAAAAGAACAGATATGCTAGCAGATAGCTGGAAAGAAGTAGCCTAAGATTGGCAGAGATGGAAAAGGCTGATTAAGGCTTCAAAAGATCTATAATGTGTATAATGCCAACAGATGAAATAAATAAGTTGTAATTTTTGTTCAGATGATTACTGTTCTGTTATTTTCCAGGGAACAATGTTGATTGAAGTAAAAAGATCAATATTTCTTTACCACACCCACAGCAATTGTCCATAATATTATTATTTTACATTTAAACTATTGGTTACTACCGAGTATGAAAGTATTGATTAAAATCCAATTTATTTCAGTAAATTCAGAGTGTATACCATTGAAGAATATTGTTGGCTACATCCCTGTTTTCTTGTATGAATTGTAAATAAATTTTTATAAGAAAATAAATATCAGTTGTTTCAAAGACATATTTTGGAGAAAATATTATTTCTGTATTATAATTTTTTAAAAAAAGTGAACTTATGATTGTTTTTTTAAGAAATCTATTGAAATCAGAAATTTTTTAGTTTTGTTTTTCTTTTAATGTGACAATATTGTTATAGAAAGCCTTGACAAATGGGAGCGACTGACCGTAGCAGATGCACTTGAACCAGTCTCATTCTCTGATGGTGAAACCATCGTGAGGCAAGGTGAGCCTGGTGACGACTTCTACATCATTGTCGAAGGGACCGCGTTGGTTCTGCAATGCAGGGGAGAAGGGGATACTGCCATTGAAGTGGGCAAGCTGGGACCCTCAGACTATTTTGGTAATTAATATTCATTTTATATTTAATTGTTAAGTACTAATAAATAACTTACATTGTTTCTCTCATAGTAAAGAATTTTTTAATGTTGATAAGATCGTAAGAATAAAGTTTAATGTTTTATAAAATGAAGAAATAATACTTTTTCTGCAAAAATGGTAATATTCTGTATGTAATAATTATAACATTGTCAATTTTAAAAGATTTGTCCTAGATTGTTTTTAATTTATAAATTCAAATTTATTATCTAATTTCTTTTGTTATTTTTGAAGTAAATCTAAATATCAAAGATTTTTCATCCAGAGTTCTAATTTCAGTGAAAATTTAAAATGATCAAATCGTCATATTTTAACTTTAAACAGACACTCTCATTTTCTATTCAATTATTTAATTCTACCAGAGCTTTTATGAAAGATTGAGTTGTTTTTAATTTTATCAATAAAAATAAACTACTCTTTTTTTTTATTCAATTATCGATCTCCCTCTTGCTATATTGGAAAGTAATGTTTTTTTAATTAATTTATGAGCAGACCACCTACCTTGGGTATACATTTCTCTCCATTTAGAAATGTGAATGTGAAATTAAGATGGTTACCTTTCACAATTTTTCTATCTTTTAGTTTAATTTTCCTAAAAAATAAGTGCGGCTAGGCAATGATTGAGGTAGCTATAATCTTTATAGCTATAGTGAATGAAACTTTATTTGTGTGAGATTAATATATGGCTGATTTATTATTGAAGGTGAAATTGCATTGTTATTGGATAGACCTCGTGCAGCGACAGTTTGTGCAAAGGGACCTCTGAAATGTGTCAAACTGGATAGAGCAAGGTAAGGCAATAATTTTTTTTTATTTCTAAATATAAAAACAACATAATTTATAGAAATTTACAATCACATGCTTTTTAATAACAGCTTAGTTTTGCTTTAAAAAGAGAAGTTGTAAAATGTTAAATTCTTGGAAAGCTAAAGATTTAAGAGAAATTAATATCAAGTATATAAAGTGGTAGAAGGTAATGGGAATGGAAAAAAAATGACAAGTATTTCTGAAAACTAGTATCATTTGCCGAGAACGAAATGGAAACTTTTTCAATTATTCTTAAACTTGACAAACCATAATATATAGTCATTGTATTGTCATTCTGTAACTGTTCAGAAAATATTATATTATACTTTCGTATGTGAGAGAATATGTTAAGAAGGGCTTACTGCTGAAAATATTTCAAGCTGTGTTTACGAGTTAAATATATTAATAACATTTGATAACTTTAGCCACGTTAATATATTAATTTAATTAAATATTAACTAGCCCTATTTGAGCAGATATTTAATTATATAAGTTAAGTGGTAAGTGAAAGTTGTGTGATGTGTGCATTATACCAGATTTTTTTAATTTAGCTTTTTAGGTAATTTAATTGTCTTTCAAATTAGCATCTAGAATGCTCTAGGACAAGTTCAATCTGAACAGTTAACCATGGAACAAAAAAATGGTTCCACCAGTCAAAGGGATAATTATGGTTCAGATAAAACCAACAAATGAAAAATATACACATTGAAAATCTCAACTGATTACAATAGATACTTTCCTTACCTTATGGAAGTAGGAAAGTAAAATACGTTTTGATTATTTGTGAAAATAACTGGTATATCTAACAATAACAGGTGCTGGTAGGTAAACTGTCTACCTCCAACATCAAATTTCTATTTTGGGTATTTTCCCATTCTTCCCTATTATATATATATTATATATATATATATATATATATATATATATATATATATATAGAGAGAGAGAGAGAGAGAGAGAGAGAGAGAGAGAGAGAATAGAATAGAATATATTCTGTACAGAATAGAATACATTCTATTATATATATATATATATATATATATATATATATATATATATATATATATATATATATATATATATATACAGCGTGTTTCGTAATTGCACGGCTCTATTTTAGGTATGTGTTCACTAACACAAAATAAACAAAAAAGTTCATATTAACATACATCTCAAACTCATTTATTAAACAGATATCAAAGGTTAAAGATTTATTATTTATTATTACTATTTATTCATTATTATTACAACATTTAGAGTAACTGTTCAAAGGGGCCTCCGTTTTGTTGAATGCAACATTCAGCATGACGAATCCATACTTTTCTGGCTCTTCGTATAGCATCAGTAACTTGATAGTTACTGCGGCTTCCACGATCCGATATCTTAGCTCTTGCTTGCCAACTGCCGCAGAATAAACCATAGACTTCATCCAGCCCCACACAAAATAATCTAATGGCGTTAAATCTAGAGATCATGGTGGCTATTTAACAGGTCCGTTTCAACCAGCCCATCAGTCTCCTTTAGTTACATTTAAATAATCAGTGACATTATTAAAAAAGTGAGCTGGAGCACCATCATGCATAAATCACAGCCTTTGCCTAATGCCTAGCGGAATATCTTCTAGGAGTATGAAAATTATTTTGCAAAAAATGCAAGTAAAATATACCTGACAGCCTAGGTGGCAAAAACAAGGGACCGATAATGTTGTCGCTTAGAAGACCACATCAGACAATTAAACAAAAGGTATGTTGGTAATGTCCAACAGCAGTCGTATGAGGGTTTTCTTCAGCTCAAGTACGGGTATTTCGAAAATTAAGAATCCCGTTTCTTTTAAAGCAAGATTCATCATTAAACAAAATGCAGTTCAGGAAGTTAGGATCTTGTGTGTATTGCCAAATTAACCACTGGGAGAAATTGTCATAACCTTGTGGTAACGAATCTTGCCAATTTGATACGTGAATTGTACAATTGTTGTTCGCCTAAAGTTCGCCATACGCTGGTAGAGGAAACATCGAAACGACGTGATAATCTTCTGGTACTAGTAGAAGGAGATAACTGAACAGCACCGAGTATTTCTTCTTCAACATTTGCAGTTCGTCGAAATCTTTGTGGACCGGCGTTTACTCATATAAGTTTTAGCGTGACATTATCCCTAAGGCGTCTTTCAATGGCCTTAAACGTTTTACTATTTGGTATTCTTCGGTTAGGAAATTTTTCACGATATTTTCGAAGAGCAGCAGCACCGTTTCTATGTATCTCGCCATAAGTTAAAAGCATGTCTGTTCTGCAAAAGTGAATAAATTTATATCTCCCATGGTAATCATAAATTGAACTGTGTCATAGTATTCACTCACACTAAAACACACAGAACTAGACAAACAGATGAGCAACTACTGTCACTGTTTATTGTTCATTTGTTTATCAGGTGATTTTTTATTTTTATTTTTTCAATTTTTCTTAGAGTCACCATTATATTATTATTTTCTAGTTTTATTTTAGATTTATAAAGTACATACCGTTTCGAAAGAAAAGTGCTTCGCCTTAAATATGGTGGTATATATGAGGGAGGTGCATGGAGAAGAAGAACGAATGCTGAGTTAAGAGCGAGGTACAAAGAAATAGACGTATCAACATTCGTAAAGATATCAAGACTTCGCTGGGCTGGTCACGTCATAAGGATGGATCCAAATGAAGTTCCTTATAAGGTCTTAGCTGGACAAATGTATGATACCAGGCGGGTTGGACGCCCCAGACTGCGTGGCTGCAGACGCGATATCTCTGCTCGGTGTTATGAACTGGAAGGTAGCAGCACGGAACAGAGAGGACTGGCGGTCTAAGCTTGAGCAGGCTATGACTCAACTAGTGGGTCGTAACGCCGAATAAGAAGAAAGTACATAACATTAATAACAGTTTAGATATTAATTATTTAATATAGCAATTAATCTCTTCGAAAGTGAATTTTTAATCAGCTATCATTTAAACATAAATAATTTAACTTTATGAATTTTGTAAAAATATTTAGATAACAAGGAACACACATATCATTGGTTTATTGGACAAATTCACTAACATAATCACATTTTTGTTAAGGCTGAAGTGTGTTTTTATGAATTTTTATATTGTTTATCAATGCAAAAATACAGTATGTTCATCAAATTGAAACGAACCCTAGTAGATATTAGAATTTATTTTATAAAGGGAACAATGTTCTGATTTCACAGAGGGAAAATTTTCAAAGATTTAGTGATATAAAATTATGAAATGTTACTTGATGATTTTTTGCAAAAAAAATACAGTATATTTTATGCATTTGTATTTATTTAATAAACAACTGTTCTGTCCAATTATGATAGAGAAATAATGAAAAAATAAATAAAATAAAATATAGATGGTATAATGCTAATAATAATGATAGCATCTTGAATGAATGGTTGTTACTAATGAATATATATATTGAGCTTTAAATTTCTATTTTAGATTTGAAAGAGTGCTCGGACCGTGTGCAGATATCTTGAAAAGAAACATAACCCAGTACAACAGTTTTGTTTCCTTATCAGTCTAGCTTCATATGCTAATGGTAAGTAATGATATGCATAAATATGATTTGTTTTTATTTTTTGATATAATTATTGTAAATGTTTTTCTTCAAAACTTAAAACATACTTTTTTTTTAAATATTAATATTCCTTACAGTTCCATTTAATGTCACTATATATGACAATTTCACATCATATATGATTATCTAAACTCTAAATCTTTTTTTAAAAAATACCTGAATAAGTACATGGATTTATTACCTTAGTTTAGGTTGTCCAAAACCGAAAGATAACAAAATCAGGTATACAGTTTGTCATAAACAATTTAATAATTTAAACTCCATAAACAAAGCTTGGCAATATCTGCACTGATATATTTTATTTGTTTGTTGAGTTTTACAGCTATATTGGAAATGAAATGTGCAGTATAGGACTTCTTGAGCCAAAAAAGGGAGAAAAATAATGAAATAAATAAATGTGGTTAATAAAACATGTTACTTATGAAGAAACTACCCACTAAAATATAACATAGTGTTGTAGAAAAAATTCTTCTAAGCCAATTCCAATTGAATGCTATTGTGTCACATTGAATTATTTCTGATGAAAAATATTTAGCATAACAAAATATACACTCATAAGTTCACTAAAACAAATAATAACTTTCAACCTTTTTTGGAATCACGTTTAATGCATTCCTCAAAACATTGTCATTTTCCTTTACAATCACATATTACTAATAATGATCATCTCTATTCTTTGGTCTCTCAACTTGACTCCTTAGAGCTCTACGATGAGCCATTTTCTAACAATTCTGTTGAAAATAAATAGATGTTAGAATGTTCAATTGATCATGCACTGATTTATTTTTAAAATTAATAGGCCACTGCCATTGCATACAAGTAAAATCAATTGCATTGCACTTAAAAATGCTGACATTTGCTGCTACAGAAGTAAACACAAAAGTCTAAGGACTTATAATGATTGCAATTTTTAGTATGAGTCATACAAATTTAAAATCATAAAATTACATTCTGTTTAATTCAATTCTTCGGCAGATACTTTTGTTTGTTTAACTTCAATGTTAAACATTACTTTATTACATGAAACCAAAAATTTTCTTATTCTATATTTATGGTATGATATTTGGTGTTTCTACTTATATTTTCATAATAAAGTAAGTAGTAAGCTAGTAAAGCCTATACAATGCACATTGAATTCAAACAAACCCACAATTCATTACTGCCATTTCTACTTGGTTCTACACTGTTAGTAAAGCAGTATATTCCCAGACACACTCTGGAAGCGACATCTTTGATTCTTCTATAATTAATAGATTATTTTATTTATTATTACTAGAGGTGTACTCCTTGTCTGCCTAACGGCTGACCAACCTCCATTTTAGAAATTTCACAACTGTTCATTTAATTGTACTACTCGTTGCTCAAATTGTATAACCGTAATTTATATATATTCTGTAATTCAGATTGTACTATGTTTTATCAACATAAAAGAAATGAAACGAAACCACAATTTAGACAATCTTCTAATTTCTTTATATTATGCAGCCATATTTATATTATTGTAATGTGATTATTGCTAACTTATGTTATTATATAATTACAATTATTCTTATTGCCAATTTGTAACCATAAGGAGGGAGAAATAATTCTGGCCTGGAATCCTATAGCATATCTTGTAGTACATTTCTAATGTTTTTGGGAAACATGGAAACCCACATTACGTCTGTATATGTTGTTAATATTTTAAGAAAATATCTTATTTAAACATTAAAAAATACTCTTTAACTTTTACAATAATTTTCCTTTTTTTTTTTTCGTTTCAGATAAGGGAAGTAAACCATGGACGTTTCTTGAAGCCTTGGTCTTCTATTCAGAATGTTGCATAAATATAAACTACAAGAAAAATAAATTCCTCCATTTAACTATTGTCAGTGTTATTGCCTTAACCTAAAAGGTTGGAATGGTCCCCAACCATTTATTCAGTAAACTGAATATCTATATCTTTAACTTGTTTTAACCCTTATGTACTTGTTATCCCTTCTACATTTAGGAGGAAATTGGTTGTTTCAATTTTAGTGTTTTAAATAGATTTTTTTTTATGTGTATCTATATAAAATTATTTAAGTATTATTTATCTTTATTTGAATGAAATGGCGCAATATAGTCAAAATATTATGTTTTAAAAATATAATATAACTCTAATTAATGTTTATTATTCAGTGATTTATTTTTTCATTTTCCTTTTTTTTAACTTTTCCAATCTCATTTCTACTTTCTAAGCCACATCTTAGTTTTTAATTAAATAAAAATGTAGGAGAAATATTAATCAATATAAAAAAGATATTGCTTAATTATTTTTCATCGGTATTGTCTAAATTAGAGCTTCAATAGAAGAAAATAAAATAACACGTTTCAAGAATTGAATGATAACAACTATAGAAATTTTGAATATTATGAATAATGGTACAAAAATAATTTCTCTCTTAAGATCCTTTTTGTGCCTCTCAGGAACAATTTTTATGAATGAGATGAAAAGAAAGGCAATTTCATGAAGAATTAAAACAATGTGACGGATCAAGAGGGGACAGAAATATGCATGGTTAAGGGTCATCCAATGTAACCTGTGTTGGCCAGGGTCGCTATGGCATATATTTTATATTTTTTCCATTATGCTAAATTAATTGCATATTAAGTTAATTGTTACTATTGCAGTTCATCAGTAATGTATTGTACAATAAATTGAAGATAATTGTATGATACAGAAAGAGTGATATTTTATTTATGTGAGAGACCTATGCATTTATGTGTACCTGACCCATGTACCGAATAGAGGACAGTATGCACTTTAGGGGTTTTTAATAGAAAAAAAACATGTTTGTTTTTTAATGTAGCACCTAAATTGCTATGATGATTTGATGAGACTTACCTTAAGTTATGTATTCAAATCACATTAATTTTTTTTATGTTGTATACACCTTTCTCTCCTCCCTCCGTCTGGAAAGTGTTAAAATTCACTAAAAATTGATGCGTAATTAGCTAAGAGACAATGTATCTGACTTTTAAAATGTTTTCAAAATTATTTCGCCAAGGTTCCTACTGAAAACTGTTGCCAGCTTTTTAGTTTTATAAATAATTCAAAAAGCATCTTCTAATAAAAAGTAGTAACTCTGAATTCTAGAATTGTTTAATTTTTAATTGAAGCGTGCACTTTTTCATGTATTAAATATTCGTGTGTATAAATATTGCTGAATTTTTTGTTTGTGTTACGGTTGCCTATGTATCGGCATTGTTTGATAATAATATTTTCTACCATAGCTAGAGTATTAGAGCAAAACTGTTTAATACACTGTGTATTAAATTGGGCTGAAGCCCTCAGCTTTTATTTTTTTTTATTTTAATATAACGACAATTACTTTGAATGAGTCTGTGTTGTGAGCCCATAGGGATCAGACGTGCTTCACTCTGTGCTATAAAATTTTGTTTGTTTTTCTCAGTAAAGTTGCTTAATAACTGTGTTTATGAAAATGAAAGAAGAGAAGAAAAAAAAAGGTAGTGAGGCTTTACAAGTGAGTAATTGTCACTTATCTAAAAACAGCCATGCATATTTGTTATATATATTACAATTAAATCTAATTTGATTGCTATACCTACACCGACAAAAAAAATTTCTAAAAGTTTATTTTTGATAGTTGTGGAAAGGAAAAATAAATAAGTACTTTGGCAAAATTAAGCTATCAATATGAAAAGTATTTTAATGATTTTAATTTAATATGGATTGAGGCAAATAAAACTTATAAGAAAGGTAAGGCAATTGGCGAGATTTTGTTGGGTATTAAACATAATTTAACTGTAAGTAATGTGGCATGCAAGTTTATCAAATGGGATAAGTGGGATTGAATTGAAATAAATAGTGTTAATGAAAAAATTTATATTATACCATTTTATTTAAATTATAGTGTTTGGAATGAAGATTTTTCAAAATTATTAAATTTTCTGTCATCAGTTAACTAAAAGTACATTCTTGTAGGAGATATGAATGTTACATTGACAGACAGACAGATTATTTCACACCTGAAATTGTGTGGTGATTTTGATTTAGTAATATTAAAGGGCCGTACGCTGGGTGATCCTGATGGAGAATCCACATAAATTTCTGGGAGAAGTATATCCGTCATTGATATTTGTTCTTCATCTGTTCTTATTTTGAAATATGTAAAAGATTTGAAAATTATCTCAAAAAATTATACGCAGCATATGCCTATCAAAGTTATCTTAGATTTTGATCAACCAAACAATATTAGGAATTGTAAACCGTCCCTACTAAGTAGATTGCGATGGTCACGACTAGATGAACCACTAGCGGATCCAGGATTTAATTTTGGGGGGGCTTCAGCCCGAAACCTTTTTTTTTCATAAAAATAACGATAATTACTTTGGAAAAACAAAAAGAAACTAGCTACCTATATGAAATGGTGTTTAATTTACTCCTTAAGTACTTTTAAATGTAATTACACGAACAATAATACTTTAAGAGGTATTTTTAACAAATTTTTTCCCATAAAACATGGTTATATTTTTCCATTTTGGGAGGGGCTTCATCCCGAAAGTCCCTTCCCCGTAGATCCGCCCGTGAGATGAACTATATTTTAAATCAGAATTAGAAAATAAATTAAATTACATAAATTTGGATGAGGTCAACGAATCTCATTTAAAATTAAACTTATAATTAAAATGTATTATAGAATGTACTTTTAGTGGAAAAACAGATAAATGAAAGTAAAAATTCGGAAAACAACAGTGTTTCGACAGTGAATGTATAAAGTTCCGTAACAAGTCTTTTAGATTCTTGAATATTTACAGAAAGTGAAATAATAATTATATCAAATCACTATATTTGAGTGCAAATATTGAATATAAAAAATTAGTTATCCAAAAAATGGATTATTATAAAAATCTTGATGAAAACTTAAGGTTACTAATTTAAATTCATTAAGGATACTAAACAGGTATGGACATCAATACAGCAATTTAAGAACAGAAATTTCATTAGTGAGTTGAATATTATTTCAGAGTAGTTCAGACATTATTTTAACTTTCTGTTGAATCCTATTATAAAAACTCCTCAAATTTTGTATACCACACCAAATGGGAAAGATCTAGAGCTAGATAGGGAAATCAGTCTAGGAGAATTAAAGATTACAATTGCAAAGGCAAATAATAATAAGGTGCCAGGACTCAATTCTGTGCCCTATGAATTCTTCAAAAATTCTCCAGAATGCGTTTTGTCGCAAATCTTTGAGATATTTAATGATTATTTGAATACTGCAAATATCCCACAGAGCTTCACTGAATCGTTCATTCACCCGTTATTTAAAAAGGGAGATGTTCATAAAGAAGAAAATTATAGAGGTATTTCCTTCATTAATGTGACTATTAAACTATTCACTAGTGTTTTATAGGACCTTTTGTGGAACTGAGTGAAAACAAACAGAATTAATGATTTTCAAGCAGAATTTCGACCTGGCTACTTTTCGATGGTGTTCCACATTTTTACTTTATTCAGCATCGTTAACCTGACTCTAGCAAAAGAACGTTATAAAGTCTATGCATTCTTTGTAGACTTTAAAGCAGCCTTTGATTACATTGATAGGGAGTCATTTTTTTTAAGTTGATTAATTTTGTGTTGTCACATAAATTTTTAAATATCTTAAAAAGTAAGTATTTAAAGACTAAAGTGACAGTATATCACAAGGAAGGGCTTAGTAATTTTTTTGAAACCTTAGTAGGACTAAGAAAGGGCTCTCTGCTAAGATCCTTTAATTTTTAGCATTTTTCCAAAAAAAAAAAGAAATTCAAACGATATTTTATAGAAAAATTGTTACTCCTCCCGGGGTATGCATCTGATTACATTTTGGCGCATGAGACGGGTATCGCCTCTATATATGCTTAAATCCTAAAGATACACTTTGACTATATTTTAAAAGTTCTATAGATGCATAATTTCAGTTTACCATACATTCTAACAAAAGAAGTAATCAAAAATAAATTTTTTTGTTCCCGGAAGTGGTTGGAATTAGAGGAATTTTATCATATTAGGCTTGATACTTCTAATACCTTCAATGTACGTGTAAATTTGTTTGCAGTTAGGTATATGGTTGAGGAATCGGAAAAACAAAGCAATGTCTGCAGTCCAATTTTTCTATAAATGTAGGTTTATGTGATTTGCCTCTGTGTCACCTTATATCAATGACAGTTTTGATCTTGTATCGATAAGGTCAATTTTCCAATACAGGACGGAATTACTTAATTTAAGTGTTAAACCCTAGGTGTAGGAGGGTAATGATAATTGTCCGGTTTGTAATTCCGGGTAAAAAGAAGACACCATGTACTTACTGAGGTCCTGTCATATCTACAGTGAGATAAGGGAAAAATATTTTGGTTGGCAGACATGTTGTCCGGAGGAATTATTTAGCCTATTGAGAGGTGCTAATTGGAAGGCCCTAAGTAATGATGCACAGCAAGCCACAATACAAAGAAGAAAGCAAGTTAGCTCCTGAATGATTAGTGGAATGCCTTATTTATTTGTTATGGTTGTATTGTTTATTATTTGTTATAAAATGTACTTAATCTACTTGGGTATTTACTATTTATCATTGTTACTTATTGTTTTATTGCTTGTCGGTCAGGTTTTGCTAACTTTTAACGTTTATTAGATAAAATGTTTTTTATTTTTGAAGGGTGGAGAAGTGGGAAACAATTTAAAATGTTATTAATAATAATGTAAAAATATTATTGCTCATTAATTTATAGGATATAAAATGGAAAATATTTTGTAGAAAGATCACATCGACCTCAACAGACGGAATTTTTCATTGTCTATATGTTGTAACATTTATATGAATATTATATTTTTTATCTATTTGCTTTATGATAATAAACACGTTTTCATTCATTAAGCGATTCTTGAAGTCCTATTCAATGTAATCACACGATCAATAATACTTTTAGAGATATTTTTTAAATAGTTTTTTTAAGGCATGGTAATTTATTTTTATTTTATTTTCAACCCTCCCCTGCCTGAAGGCAATACGGGTATTTGCAGCAGTGGGATGTTACTGTTACATAACAACCCACTGCTGCATTTTTGGCTATTACATTATTTTTCTGAGCTATGCACACAGCTTGCTCTTCTCTTCGCTTGCATCTGGTTTTCTT